GGTCACAGAGCACCACTTGCCCCATGGCGCCCAGGGTCTGGTGCACACGTGTGTGCAGCTGCGTCACATGGGACCGTGCCGGGGGTAGGAAGAGTCAGGGCTTGGGGATGGCTCCTGCTGGTGTGCAGGAGGGCGTCCCCGGGGAGGTGGTGGCCAGGGCAGGGGGCAGCTGCCCTGCGGGCTGGGGGTGCCAGCCTGCAGCCCCGCGGGGTGCCCGGCCTGTGGTGCTCCCAGGATGGACCCCTCCACCTGCTCGCCAGCCCATCCGGCACTGGCAGCCCTTTGAAATTGAAGCTGCTGGCCTCTCACACCAGCTATTCCTGTGAAATTCTTCAGGAAGGGAAAATTATCCCCCCGGATCCCTGCAGGGCCGTGCCATCGCCCTCCCTCCGGGCTGGCAGGGGGAGCATGGGGTGCCACGGAGCCCAGGTTCTCCCCCTGGGTCTGTCCTTGCTGTTTGGGTTTTCCCTCCCTGCCCCAGTCCCTGCCTGCAAACCTGCAGCTTGGGGGAGCAGGGACCCCGCAGGGTCCGTGCGCTGGGCAGGGCAGAGCCCCGGGAGGGGCAGCGCAGGCAGCATGGCCCGCCCCGCCCCGCAGCAAGTCCTGCCTGCCTGGCTGGGGCTCCACAGGGAGCCCATGGGCCCTCCACAGCTCCATCACCCACTCCCAAATCCATTGCCCCCTCCCTGTCTCCATCACCCTATCCCCTGCCCGATTGCCCCTCCCCACCTCCGTTGCCCTCTCCCCAGCTCCATCACCTCCCCTCTAGGTCCATCACCCCCTGCCCAGCTCCATCGCTGCCTCCTCTGCTCCATCGCCCCCTCCCTGGCTCCATCACCTCACCCCCAGCTCCTTCCCCTCCTCTGCTCCACTGCTTCCTCCCCACCTCCCTCTCCTGCCCTATCATTCCATCCTCTGCTACATCAACCTCTCCTCACCTCCATCGCCCTCTCCCCCGCCCAATTGGCCCCTCTCCCCACCTCCGTCGCTCCCTCTCCCACTCCATCATTCTGTCCTCTGCTCCATCACCCTCTTCCCAGTGCTGTCGCCCCCTCCCTGGCTCCCACCAGGGCTGTCCCCATCTCTGGTGCCAAGGGGGAAGCCCCAAACCCTGTGGCCCAGGGAGGCCCCATCCATGGCTGGGCAAGAGGGGCATTGCTGCAGCCTTTCCTTACCCCACAGCGGCAGCGGGGGATTTTTTCCACCCGTGGCCCTTCCTGTTCTCCTTCCCCCTCCCCTTGCAGTGGCTCTTGCACAGGTTTGCAAGCACTGTTGACGGGAAGAAAGGAAATGGGGCAAAGCTGCTGCCAGGAACCACAGGCTCCCGGGCTCCTGCGATATGGCCCCACTCCGCCGGGTTGGCCGCTTCCCGGGCAGGATTTCTGTGCAGCCTCTGTGAGCCCTTTCTTCCCGCTGTTGATATTGGATTCCCAGCCCAGGGCCACTTCCAAGGCTGTAAATCTGCTCTGTTGCTCTACCTGGTGTTCTTGTTTTCACTGCTAGGCTTCCAGACCTGCTGGAGATCTCAGCTTCTGTGCACGGCCCCCGTGTCCCCATCCCCTCCCTGGCTGCCCCAGCGCACCCCAGGGGTGTGGGCATGGATGGGCAGGGCACTCCCCAGCCGACGCAGGCAGGGGGCAATGGAAGGGCAAGACCTGGCCCAGGGCTGGGATGCTGGTGGCACCCCCATGCCCCCCGCCTGCCGCTGCGGGTGGGATGAAACTCCAGGCAGGGCTCCATGGGTCCTCTGCTGTCCCCACTGCAAGGTCCCAGCCGCTTGGGCAGGGCTTGGGCACCCCATGGAGCACCCAAGGAGGGTGTCAGGGTTGGGGAGCAGCACCCCAGGGTGCTTTCCCAGGGTGTGGGGCAGGGGCAAGGGGCAGCTGCTCCTCTACGTTAAAAGGAGCCCCTTGACTCTGAAAATCCACGTGTTGCTCTTGGCCGGGCTGCGGCACCTCCTGCCAAGAGCAACAGTTTTACATATTAAAGCAAAATTAAATTAAAAGACATTTATTTGTGCATTTGCCCCCCCCGCCCCCCCTTAACCCTTTGCAGCCCAGGCGGCAGGGTTGGGAGGTAGAAGGGCACCCATGGGGGTGAGGTGGGTTGGTGGGGCCAGCACCCTGGAGTGCCATCCAGCCCCTGCCCGTGGGCCCTGCTGTGCCCCCTGCCTGCCCAGAACCCTCCCTGGGTTCTGAGACGCTTGGGTGTTTGTTCCCAGGTGATGTTTGGGTGTCCCCAGCTGATGTTTGGGTGTCCCCAGGTGATGTTCAGGTGTTCCCAGGTGATGTTTCCAAGCTTTCCTCAGCAAATGGCTTCCTAAGGGGAAGCCTTGGTGGCAGGAGCTGGGCTTCGGGGTGCCCTGGAGCGGTGGTGGTGCCGCCCTCAGGTGCCTCACCCCATGCAGGACACGCATCCTGGAGCTGGGGGGTGGTTGGGATGAGGGTCTCCAGGATCAGGTCCCAGCACCCCGCAGGTGACACCTCCCTCCCAGCTGCGGCAGACACAGCTGTGGCTGCCAGCACATCTATGGGTGACAATTTGCCCCCAAACCTGCACCGCAGCACAAAATACCCCAACCCCACCCATTTCTTAGTGCAGGCAAGGAGGAGGAGCATGGCCTTAGCCCAGGGCGCGAAGATCCCTGCAGCTGGCTGCTGCTCCATGTCACCTGGGCACATGGGACGGTGCTTTCTAGGCCCCCCCCCTGCAGCTGGTGGCCGAGGGGACAAAGCCCCCTCCAGCACCCCAAATAACCCAGGGAGGTTTCCCAGGGCCCCGACATTGGGTGAGCAGTTGCCCCGTGCTGGAGGGAAATTCCAGGGCGACAGCTTATCTCCCTCACCGTTACAATAACCGATAAGCGGCTCCCATGGAATTTCCTTATAGTGCCGAATCGGGGCTGTTTAAATAATGTATGGCCGGGGTGTCAGCGTGGGGCTGGCGATTAGGAGCAGCGTTGACAGGTTGTTATGTTGTTACTAAAGAAATCGCAGAGCTGTGGGAATGCCTGGGAACGGCGAGGCGCCCGGACCCCCAGGTGCCAGCCCGTGCCCACACCCGCCACCAGCATGGAGACGTGCTGGGTGTCCCCGCTGGGCATCCTGGGGACCCTGCCCCAAGCACCCCAGGGGACGGAGGGTGCTGGGCAGGGATGCAGCTCTCCCAGCCCATGCCGTGGGCGCTGGGGCTGAGCCACCTCCCGCGGTCCCCACTGCCCCCCCATGGCCCCCAGACCCCTTGGGCGCAGGTCCCCTCTCTGCTCCATGGGGGGTGCGGGTGTGTGGTGAAGTGTTTCCCAGTTCTCAGCAGCAGGACCGAAGCGGCGCTGTCTGTCCCCAGACCGAGGCGTGTGGGAAGGGGGGGTCCCAAGGGGCT